AACACTCCAACATTTGCCTCCTTAAGTCTCTTTTCATACACTTTCATTACTGACCAAACCAAATTCTAAAGTCATTTTCTATCATGTGAATTCCAACTTCTGGAAACTTATGTGTGTCAGAGTAGAACTGATTCTTTGTAAGTAAATCACCATGCCTCTCTTGCGAGATACCTCAGGCTGGGCTTGAAGCTCCAATTTTTCTATTAGTTAAGCACATTAACCATTTGAACCACCCAGTGTACACTAGTACAGAGAATACCAGAAGTGTGCCTGTGCTTTATTGACTATGCAAAAGCTTTCAACTGTGTGGATCATGAGAAGTTTTGGACAACATTTCTGAGAAGGACTTTAGTGGAACTCAATTGTGCTCATTTAGACCAAGAAGCAGTTGTTGGAACAGAACTAGGGGACACTAAATGGTTTGAAATCAGGAAAGGTGTGTGCCAAGATTGTATTCTGTCACAATACTTATTTGATCTGTATGCTGAGCAAATAATTAGAAGATGGACTATATGAAGAAGAACATGGCATCAGCTATAGAGAAAGACTCATTAACTACATATGAAATGTAGATGATGCAACCTTTCTTGTAAGTAAAGAGGACTTAAGATACTTACATATGAAGATCAAAAACCACAACCTTCAATATGGGTTGCACCTCAATGTAAAAAAAAAAAAAATCCTTACTACTGGACCAGTAACATAATGATAAATAGAGAAAAGATTGAAGTTGTCAAAGACTTCATTTTACTTGGATCTACCATCAACACTCATGACAGCCCTGGTTTGGCACTGTGGTTTAATGTGCTAGTCTGCAAAATTGGTATGAACCAAAAGGTCAGTGGTTCAAGATCACCAGCTGCTCCTCAGAACCCTATACAACAAGTTCATTATGGGTCAGAACTGACTCAATGGCACTTAACGACAACAACACTCATGAAAGTAGCAGTCAAGAAATCAAAAGACATTGCATTGGGCAAATCAGCTGCACAAGACCGCTTTAAAGTGTTCAAGAGCAAAAATGTCAGTTTGAGAACTAAGATGCACCTTCCCCAAGCCATGGTATTTTCAATAGCTTCATATGCATGTGAAAATTGGACCATATATAATGAAGACCTAGAAGAATTAATGCATTTGAGTTGTGGTATTGAAAAATAACATTAAGGGTACTAAGGGATACCAGAAGAACAAACAAATTCCCCAGGAGCATTCTGGGGGAAGAACAACCAGAGTGTTTCCTTAGAAATCAAGATGGTCAGACTTTGTCTCTAATACTCCAGACATGTTTTCCTGGAAAAGCACATAATGCTTGGTAAAGTAGAGGGTCAGCAAAACAGAGTGAAACCCCTAGTGAGATGGATTGGTACCGTGGCAATAACAATGAGCTCAAATACAGTGGCAATTGTGAGGATGAGGCAGGACCAGGTGGATTTTTTTCTTCTGTACATAAGGTAGCTATGAGCCAGAAGCAACTAGGTGAGACCAACAGGCATTTTCTATGAATCCACTCTTTTTTTTTTTTTTTTTCAATGTTTTATTGTGAATTATATGATAGTTTACATGAGAGAACTCTAGTTTTACATTCATTCCATTGCATATCATTACATTGCCATGGTTCCAATCCCCTCCATGCATCATCTCCCGACCAAAGGGCATATCCTGGAAGCCCGTCCTCTGCACTTCCCCCTCCCCCCCAACCCCACCCTCAGTCTTCGGCCCTCAGTTCCTGTCCCTCTCTGTATCCAAAGTCCCCAGCCGCTCCATCCCTCCATGTCATTGTCCTTGTCTCCATCTCAGGCATCCCTACTTCTCTGGGTAGGGTCCTGCTCTCCGCTCTTCTCCGTTGGTGGTCCCAGAGACCTCCGCTCCTAGACTGGAGAAACAGTCCCTCCCTTCCTTGCCACAAAATGTCCACCTTTGCATTTCCAACACTCACAATCCATCCTGACAACCATTATTCACTATAGTATCGCACGTAACCCATCTGTATTTCATTTCATCAGCTCCACCTAGACAAATTGGATAGTACTCACTGGTGATTCTGCATTCCTCCATGCCCTCTAGCTCTAGGTTCCCTCTTGCAAGTTTGTAAGCCAGTTACTTCTTGCCTTTGTAGTCCCTCCTTCCCCATTTGGGTATCCAATGTCCAAGTTGCCCATCTCTGTCCACTCTATGTGTGGAGGGGGTGGCAATGTTTCCTGCTGTAAGGATTTGTCGCCTCTTTTGAGTCACTGCATTCGTATGCATAGGTCAAGTTCATCAGATTGAATCAGCTCAATCATCTCTTTTTTTTTTAAACACCCCCTCCCCCCCCCACACACACACCTTCTTTCTTCTCCTGGTTGAGCTCTGATCATCCAGTCATCTGGACCTGGTCACGTGGGTGTCATCTGCAAGTGTGGGTGTTCTTGTGCACATGCCATCTCTTCCCATCAGCCGGCAGCTCCATTCTCCAATTGAGTCCTCTGTGGCCACGTCACTGACTCTGGGCCCTGGAGTCCTCGGGTCTCTTCGCACTGCTTGCCAATCAGGTCCCCAACCAGGTCCACAGAAGCCCTCTGAATATTGTGTGGCTTAGTTATCCGCCTCATTACTGCCTTTACCCCACTTCTTCCCAACGGTGATGTGTGTGTTTACCAATCCGAGCGTGCATTTCCACCGAGTCTCAGTTTCGGGAGGGGGCCTACATTGGTAGGACCTGACCAACTGCCCCAATGTCTCCTAGGAAAGCGACCTGTTGGGAAGTGACCCATTTGTTACCGTAGTAACAGTCCATCTGTCTCTATTGTATTGTATTTTTCCCTGTAGGTCCTCCATTCCAGACGTATCTTTTGTTCTACGAATCCACTCTTGATTACTTTATGATTTGTCTTTTTACTTAGTTCTTAGGCACCTTTTCATGCTAGTACATGCCAATTTGCCTGTTTATTTTTAATGACAGCAGAGTTCTGTTTCATAGATTTACTGGATCACTAACTAGTTCCCTAAGAAGCTCTGGTAGCATAGTGGTTACAAATCGGGCTGCGAACCGCAAAGTCAGCAATTTGAAACCACCAGCTGTTCCACGGGAGAAAGATGAGGCTTTCTGCTACTGTAAAGATTTACAGCCTTGGGAACCCTATTCAGGGTTGCTGTGAGTTGGAACCAATTCAGTGTCTCTTAACAACAGTTTAATTCCGAGGGGAAATTTTTAGAAGTTGAATCCTGAGTTGACGAGTATGCAGTTTAAATGAGTATTATTGCTGTTAAGCGCTATCTAGTCAGTTGCGACTCACAGCAACCCTGTAAAAGGTTTCCAAGGAATGTAGTATCAAATTTCTTTTCAATCTACAGTCCACCAATCAAGAATGGATATCAATAAGCAAGGTAAACATAGACTTGCTTGTACTTATTCACTTTTCTGTAATGAACCATTGCTCATGAGTCAAAGATGTGGGGGTTGGGGAGTCTGTCAATTTGAAAGAAGACTTTGATTCTGTTGCCAGGGAGGGTTGGAAGAGAGACAACTACCAGCCATGCCTTGAGGCAAAATCTTTGATGTGGTGAAAAATTATGAAATTGTTCACTACAGATTAATAAATAAGCCTATGCTTACCCTGTGTATTAGATGATCCGATGCTGCCACCAATACAGTGTGAGAGCCTCCTAGCAGATGGAGGGGTAATTACCAAATTGTTTTAAATCTCTGCCATTTTGATAATAATGGACAAGGTACTGAGTTGTTGGTTTAGAGTATGTTTCTTTAATTATAAGTGAGTTTGTGCTTGTCTTTTTAAAAATATATTCATTTAGACAAGTTTAGCTGAAGGTCTGGGTGTCATCAATTCTATTTAGTGTTCTAGTTCTGCTTGAGCAAAACCACCACAGGTGGATGGTTTTAGCAAATAAATGTATCCTCTTACAGTTTAGTGTCCAAACTCATGGTGTCTGCTCTAAGGGAAGACTTTGTCTTTCTGTCAGTTCTTGGGGAAGGCACTTGTCTCCTTTCAGTCTCTTTGTGTTCCTTGGAGATCTCCATGCGTCCTGACATCAGTCTGCCCCTGAGTCTAGGAGGTTCTCAGCACAGGGATTCTGTGTCCAAAGGATGCTTTTCACTCCTGGCTCTTCTTTTTTGGTGACAGTAGGTCTCTCCTCTCTGCTTGCTTCTCTCTCCTTTTTATTGTTTGTAAAATAAAAGATGATGAAGATCACCCCTCAGGGGAGTATCCTTTATATCAGATAAGGGCTGTGACCTGGTTAAGGCAGTAACTTAGGTAGAGGAATGCATCCTATCCCAGTCCTGTTAAACCTAACCCTGCCTCTATAAACAAGAATGTTGTTAAGGGCCATGGAGTCAGTTCTGACCCATAGCGACCCTATGTAGGGTTTCAGAGGAGCAACTGATGAACTTGAACCACCGACCTTGCAGTTCAAATGGCTTTGTAGTCTGATGCATTAACTCACAATGCCACACCAGGACTCCATAAACAAGAGTTGTTGTTGTTAAGTGCCGTCGAGTCGATTCCAACCCATAGAGACCCTGCATAGGGTTTCTGAGGATCAGCTGGTGAGCTTGAACCTCCGACCTTGCAGTTCAAACAACTTTGCAGTCTGACGCATTAACCCACAGAGCCACACCAGGACTCCTATAAACAATAGTAGAGGTTGGAATATCCAACATATTACAAAATGTAGGCTAACCACACAATTCTGGGAGTCATGACTTAATCAATCTAACATATTTTTGGAGGGACACAATTTAATATAATGATTTCGGGGTTGTTTTTTTTTTTTTTTTTCTGAATCGCAGAGAAAAATCTTATATCTAAGTACTAAGAAAGCACCCCACTGTTCCTGTCATCTCATTTACAGAGGGCATTGAATTTCTAGACCTTGGTATATTTTATAGCTGGGGTGTTTTATAATGATGTCATCCCAGACAGATGGGCTGAGACCTAGCCAGACCTCTCGCTCTCAAGTTAATTAATGTGATTTTTTTTCTTTCTTTCTTTTTTTTGCAGCAATTCAGCTTTGTTTCCTTACCCACTGATGTGCTGGAAATTGAGGTGAAGGACAAGTTTGCCAAGAGCCGCCCCATCATCAAACGCTTTTTGGGAAAGCTGTCAATGCCGGTTCAGAGACTCCTGGAGAGACACGCCATAGGGTAAACCAGACTCAGATCTCAGCTGCATGAGTCTTCAGCCAGCAGGCCAGGCCCAAGGGAAGCCTTTAAGCTGCCATGATATAGTCTTATGAAGATCCAAACTAAAATAGTGTCATTATATCACTTTGGAGCTGGGTGGTACAGTGGTTAAGTGCTCAGCAACTAAGTGAAAAGTTGAAAGGTCAAACCCTCCAGCCACCATGCAGAGATTGGAGTGGCAGTCTGCTTCCAAGAAAGACTGCAGCATTGGAAATCCTAGGGGCAGTTTTCCTCTGTCCTCCTAGGAGTCCTGGTGTGGCGCTCTGAGATAAAGCACTGGACCGCAAGGTCAGTTTGAGGCTCTTCAAACTCACCAGCAGCTTCTTGGAAACCCATACAGGGTTGTTATGAGTCAGCACCAACTGGACAGCACTTAACAACAATAGGGCTGTTGGACTTATTGTGTGATCCTGTAAGATCAACACTAGACTGCGAACCACAGGTTGACTGTCCAAGCCCCCAGCTGTTCCTCAGAAACCCTATTCAAGGTTGCTATGAGTAGAAACACACTCCGTGGCACTAACTGCAACAAACAGGGGTGTTATGAGTCGGAATTGACTTGTAAAGATCACCAGCTGCCCTGGGTCCTACCTTATCCTCGCAGCTGCATGTAAACTATTTAAAGACAGAAATAATGCATTGTATGTTTCATATCAACAGTAACCAAGGAGAGAAAAACCCAGAAAACAATAGCAAAGCATAGTAAATCTAATTTGTTTTCTTGCTGTCTGATTGTCTTCAGACCTCCCCTGATTCCAATTAGGTTTTGGGTTCAAAATATCTTTCTTATAATTGTAGTAAACCTACTTCAGAATAAGACTCTTTCTAAATAAACAAGATAGTGTTGCTCATTCTACTTCTACTGCATATAGTGGCTTATTCAATAGAGTTCTGAGCAAATCCAAACACTAAACCATGACCTATCAATGAAAAATGTTGACTCAGTGGATCTTGGGGATACATGAGGTGGGGGGGGAGGTTCAAAAATTTGGTGGGAAAATGCCGTTATCCTTTAATTCCATTTTCCATGTACTTTTTGAAACCCCCTCATACGTTGTGTATTTCATCATGCCAGTGTTTTCTAGAAAGAAAGATTAAAACACTTCCAACCAACATTTCTGTTTTTAATGTTTTTTAACCTAACCTTTTTAATGAATGTAAAATTCAGGTATTTCTATATTCATTCTATGTACTCATTCCTTTGGACATAGAGTCCAAAAGAAGAAGTAGATTGAATACAAACCATGAGTACCAATTGACTTTGGAATTCTGTCTTTGTTACTGTTGGGTGCACTGGATTTGTTCATTCCTAAATATCCCATGAGTCTCTTCTTCTACTTACGTCAAAGTTGCTGTTAAGTGCACTTGAGTTGGTTTCAGCTCATAATAACCAAGTATAGGGTTTTCAAGGAGTGACTGGTGTGTCTGAATTGCTGACCTTGCTGTTCAAACAAACCTTGCAGTCCAGTGCCTTATCCTCCCGTGCCACACCAGGACAAAGCAGGAACCAATTTCTTCTGCTGAAGCTACAGTGTCAATGAATATAGAACAGCAAAGATTCAGGTTGATTCCTCCTGGATGGTTTTCTCTTTAAATAATTTCTTTATGCTTTGACTGAGCAGAGGGGATGATACTCAAGCCCAGGGTAGAGATTCCAGTCCTGAAGTTGGGGTCAAATGGCAACCACAGGCCATTCAGTCCCGTTCAAGAAACTTGCTGTCCTCTCTCCTCTCTGCAGTACTGTTCAGAATCTCTAGTTACCATGATGCCCACCCCACCCCTGGTCATTGTATACCAAAAAGACACATGCATAGCTGGTGCTGTTCATTATTATTGAGGGAGAGTTTTGAAATATGGCAGCCTGCAAAGAAAATGAAGACCAAGGATATCCAGGTCTTTTTTTTTGCTTTTGAACTCATGTCAGCAAACTTTTTTATAAAAGGCCATATGGTCTCGGTTACAACTGCTACAATTACTCACCTCTGTTTTCAAAGCATGAAAGCAACTACAGATAATGCATAAAACAGGCAACATGGTTGTGTTTCCAATAAAACTTTATATTGCTCTTATGGATGCCCGGGACTGTCCAGTCGGTTCCAACTCATAGTGACCCTATGCACAGCATAACAAACCACTGCTCAATCATGTTCCATTCTCACAGTTGCTATTAGGTTTGAGCCTGTTGTTGCTGCTCCTGTGTCAAATCTATTTGATAGGAGTCTTCTTCTTTCTCCTTGACCCTCCACATTACCAAGCATGGCACCCTTATCAAAAGACTGGTCCCTCAGGACAGTATGTCCAAAGTAAGAGAGACAATGTCATGTCATCCATGCTTCTGAAGAATGTTCTGGTTGTAATTCTTCCAAGACAGATTTGTTATTCGGGCAGTCCACGGTACGATTCATGTTTCAAATACATATTTCAAATAAATAGATAGTTCTGTGGTGTTTACTCTTTATTGTCCAACTTTCACTTGCATGTAAAGCAATTGATAATCCCATGGCTTGGGTGCACCTTAGCACTCAGCTGACATCTTTGCTCTTTAACACTTCAAAGAGGTATTTTGCAGCAGATTTTCCTAATACACTACAGCATTCCATTTCTTGACTGCTCCTTCCATAAGTGTTGATTGTGGATCCAAGCAAAATGAATACTTTCACAACGTCCATCTTTTCTCTGTTTATCATGGTTATTTATTGGTCCAGTGGTAAGGATTTTGTTACTTTTCAGTGAGGTGCAATCCATACTGAAAGCTATAGCCTTTGATCTTTATCAGCAAGTATCTTAAGTTCTCTTCACTTCCAGCAAGCAAGGTTGTGTCATCTGCATATTGCAAGTTGTTAATGAGTCTTCCTCCAATCCTGATTACATGGTCTCCATGTAATCCAGTTTCTTGGGTTATTTTCTCAGTATACAGATTAAATAAATTTGAAGAAAGGATACAATCCTGATGCCCACCTTCCCTGATTTTAAACCATCCACTATCCCTTTGTTCTGTTCAAAGAACTACCATATGGTCTATGTAAAGGTTTCTCATGAGCGCATTTAGGTGTTCTGGAATTTCCACTCTTCACAATGTTTTCCATAGCTTGTTATAATCCACACAGTCAAATGACTTTGTATGATCAATAATGCACAAGTAAACATCTTTCTAGAATTCTCTGCTTTCAGCCGACTTCAATCTTACATCAGTAATGATATCCCTAGTCCCATGTCCTCTTCTAACACCAGCTTTAATTTCTGGCAGCTACTTCTCAATGTACTGCAACCGCTGTAACTGTTTTTGAATGATCTTTAATGAAATTGTACTTTTACTTATAAGTGATATTAATGATATTGTTTGATTAATTTTGCATTTGATTGGGTCACCTTTCTTTGGAATGGGCACAGTTTTCTTGACATAGGTGAGTGATTTGTGAGTGAATGCCTCCATCAGTTTATTGAAACATTTTGATTTGTATTCCACAAATTCCTGGAACCTTATTTTACACCAGTGTCTTTAGTTAAACTTGGACTTCTTCCTTCAGTACCTTTGGTTCTTGATAATATGCTACCTCTTGAAATGGGTGCATATCAACATTTCATTTTTACACAGATACTTTGTATATTCCATCCATCTTCTCTTGATGCTTCGTGCATCATTTATTTTTGTCCATGTTGTTGTTAGGTACAGTTGAGTTGGTTCTGACTCATAGCGATCCTGTATAGTGTTTCCAAGGAGTGGAGGTGGGTTTGAACCTTCAACCTTTCAATTGGCCATCCAGTACTTATCCTACAGTGCCATAGCAGGATGCCCATAGAATATTTGCCTTCAGAATCCTTCAATATTTCAAGTTAATGGTTGAAATTTTTCTTCAGTTCTTTCAGCTTGAGAAATGCTGAACATACTTTTGCATTTTGGCTTTCAAACACCAGGACTTTGCAAATTTCATTATAATTCTTTGTCTTCCCAAGCTACCCCTTGACATTTCTGTTCACCTCTTTTATTTCATCATTTCTTTCCATTTTTAGCTTCTGATGCTCAAGAACAAGTTTCAGAGTCTCTTCTGACATCTATTTTAGTCTTGTCTTTCTATTTTGCCTTTTAAATGATCTTTTGCTTTCTTCATTGTTGATATCATCCCACAACTCTTCTGATCTTCAATCATTAGTGTCAAAGCTCTTCTTGAGAGTGTCTCTAAATTCAAGTGAGATCTATTCAAGGTCATGGTTTGGCTCTTATGAAATTGCATATGAGCAAATTGTTGTGTTCCACAGAATGCCCCAGCTTTGTTTTAACTGTGATATTGAGCTTCTCTGGCATCTCTTTCCATATATATAGTCAGTTTAAATCATGTGAGCGCCATGTGTATACTACCTTTTATGGTGCTGAAAGATGGTATTTGTAATGAATGAGTTGTTGGTCTTTGCAAAATTCTATCATGCAATCTCCTAGATCATGTCCAGCATCATTTCTATCACTAATGCCATATTTTCCACCTACTGGATACTTCTTATTTGTTTCCTTCTTTCACATTCCAGTTATCAGTAATTTCACTGCATTTTGACTGAATATTTAATCAATTTTAGACTGAAGAAGGTGGTAGATTTCTTCAATATCATCATCACTTGCTTTAGTTGTTGGTGTGTAAATTTGAATTATAGTTGTGTTAATTGATCTTCCTTACGTTGTTGTTGTTATTATGTGGGTGGAGTGAGTTCCAACTCATAGCGACCCTGTGCAGGATTTTTGAGGCTGTAAATCTTTACGGGAGCAGAAAATCTCATCTTTCTCCCACGGAACAGCTGGTAGTTTTGAACTGCTGACCCTGAAGTTCACAGCCCGATTCGTAACCACTATGCTACCAGAGTTCCTTGGTCTTTCTTATGTTGTTGTTGTTGTTGTTGTTGTTATGTGCCGCGGAGTCGCTTCCGACACATAGCGACCCTGTACAGGTGTATGGATATTATCTTACCACAGACAGTATTATACTTCAAGATAGATATTGAAATGCTCTTTTTGATGTAACACCATTCCTCTTCAATTTATCATTCCCAGCATAATAAACTGTTATGATTGTCTGATTCAAAATGGCTAATGCCTGTCCATTTCAACTCACTAATGCCTAAGATATTGATCTTTATGCATTCCATTTCATTTATGATGACTTCCAAATTTCCTAGATTCACACTTAGTATATCCCATGTCCCAGTTGTTAATGGATATTTGTAGCTCTTTCTTTCCATTTGAGTCCACCACATCAGCAAATGAAGGTCTTGAAAGCTTTGCTCCATTCATGTCACTAAGGTCAACTCTACTTTGAGGAGACAGCTCTTCCCAATCCATATTTTGATGGCCTTCCAACCAGAGGGGCTCATCTTCTGGCCCAATATCTGACAATGTTCCACTACTACTCATAAGGTTTTCAGTGGCTAGCCATTCAGAAGTGGTCTGCCTCACCTTCTTGTATAAAACTTTATATATGGGCACTAAAATTTCATATAATTTCCACATGTCACAGAAATTACTTTTCTGTCCTAGTTAGAATGGAATGAAAAAAGAAAACACAAAATAGCAAAAAAGAGCAGCCATACTGGTCAGATAGAGATTTGTGAAACTCCCTAGACTATGGTCCTTAGTTACCTTTCAGGTCTGGGAAAGTACCCATTTCCATGACTCATTTACCTGCCAAACAATAGGGAGGACTATAAGGAAAATAATAACGCTACCGAGGAATACACATCGTAGAATGGTCAATGATTTGAGACAAAAAGGACAATATTTATCCAAGAACAAGGTTCCTAAGAACTAGGAAAGAAGAAAGAATGGGAACAAGAAACACAGGGAGAATGTGGGATAAAGGATGGTCCGTTGAGGGGATTACACACTCATGACATAAAACAAAATGTGCATGAATTGTTGAATGGAAAACTGGTCTACTCTGGAAACCTTAACCCAACGAACACGCGCACACACAAATCCCATAGAAATATCAGTTAAAAAAACAAATGGTACTCTTCTGTTACTGTTTTTTTTCTTTCAATTATTGAAAATATTAAAGCTCAGTGTTGTACAAAAATAAGTGGTAGGTCAAATTTGGCCCCAATTTACCAACTCCTGTTTTAGAAGATTGATAAGGTTTTCCTTGCTGTTGATCAGATGTACTTTCCATGTTCACCTTTGGATCATCTCATATGTACTTGAGCACATCATCACTTCCCATGAGCAGGTCTTCCCTGGGCCTTCCTGCCTCACCTACTAGAGAGAAAGCATACTGTATAGTCTTCAGGAGACGTAGTGACCAGATCAGTGATGGTGTTTATTTCCTTCTAGGGATAGGGTGGTCAGCTACACACTTGGTCGCAGACTTCCAACAGATCATGTGAGTGGACAGCTGCAATTCCGATTTGAGATCACTTCCTCCATCCACCCAGGTATTTTCAGCATGAACTTCATGTCTTGTCCTCTGCTAGTGGTATAGTTTGGTTCCTTTCTCTAAAATACAATAACCATGGTTCTCTCCAGAAATATCCTAGGTTTTGTGATTTCCTATCTTCTCCATTTGAGATCCAGAAGCCAGTGGTCTGTTCTGGAAGTCAGGTTGCTGTCCCCTTGATTGAGAGGCTCCTCTTCATTCTGATGACCCAAAGGTAGAGGGTTAGACAGTGGAGTGGGGGTTGACAACGAGGCCACTATGGGTATGGAGCACTGTATGATTTATCTTTCTACTCCTAAGTATCTAGCACAGTACCTGGCACATAGGAGGTGTTTAGCATATGTCTAATCATTGCATACAAAAATGAATGAACGAACGAGAAATCTCTCTTCCTATTTAGTCGTAATATTATATATACAGTGACCAGTAGATGAGAACATGGCATATTATGGAAGAACTATAATTATGTGATGGATTCATCCAATATCAGAGAGAAAATGAAAAAGGACAACTTGGACAGAAAACTCCACAGTTATCTACTGCTTAGTTTTTCAGCCCAAATATATTTCCAGTAAGAATGATGACATGCCTCGTGTTTCCAATTTGGCTCCTCGTCATAATCCCCATGCTAAGTGTAGCTCATGCTGCGAATTGTAGATCCTCCTAGGCCATATTTATGAGTTGCTATTAAAGTTAATGAAGCTTTTACGAAATCAGAACCCATTAAACTCCAGCTGCACTTTTCTATGCCCTATATGCAGCTCAGATTGTAAGAAAACACCCTGAAAAGTTTGTCCTTCTAAATTCATTCTTTTCCTATATTTTGAGAATAAAATTGACTTTCTGCCATGTAAAAGTAAGGATGATTTTAGAGCACCTCAGAGAGATGATTTTTCTTCCACTAGAGAATTACAACAACATGTAAGATGGGAAAGTTCATCCATTTGGCAGGGATCCAATAGAGCAACAGGAGGAAGTAGAATTAAAAAGTTGTAGACTATTTCTTAATGGTCTCTTGGTGTGTTGTTGTTGTTGTTGAAGTGTTGCAAAGTTCAGACTCATAGCACAAAAAGGTTTCCAAGGAGTGACTCGTAGGTTTGAACTGCCAACCTTTCGGTTAGTGGTCCAGTACTTACCTTCAATGCCACACCAGCACTCTTGGTATATAGACCTTGTTTGGTTTTTCTATTACAATAAACTTCAAATGCTGGAAGACTCACAGCCTGAGTCATTCTAATGACAGATTATCCCATCCATTACGTAGCGCTTTTCTTCCCTCTAGATAGCCTAAAAACTGGGCCTACCCTCCCTTGTAAGGCTGAGACATAGTAAATGCTCTGAGCAAATATCATCAGCCTTGCCAGGGATCATCAAGGACTTATAAATGCCCCATCCTCATCTCTGGAAGTTGGCCCATGCAGCAAACATTTGTCAAGTACCTACTATGTGCCAAGCACTGGGGTAGCTGCTAGGTTTGGGATGTTATAACAAAAAAGTATAATTATTATTCCCTTGAAACAGAATTTTGGGTTATATCCTGCAAATTTTTCTGTATTACAATGATAACTAACTTTTATAGAATTTTTCAGCAGAGCTCTGGTCAATGGCAAGCCCTCATCAACCCCTACATCCAATATCTTAATGTAGAAATCCCTTAGCTATGCCCAGTAGCCTATATTAATACCACATACCCTTTTTTTTTTTTACAAAGATGACATGTTTTGTTTTGTTTTTCTTGCTAGCAGATGATGAAGAGCTATCCCTGAGTACTGAACCTGAGTCAGCCCAAGTTCAGGACAGCCTCATGAACAACCTGGTGGAAAGAAGCCATCCACAGCCGCTGAATGACACTCCAGGACCCTCAGAGAACACGAAGCCAGAGCCACTGAGTGAGGACACTGCTGTGGAAAGTTCAGGGGTCGAGAGTCTGGAGCTGGCCAAGTCCCTGGAGGAAGCAGCAGGCACCGAGGCAGGAGAGGATGGCACTACCTCTGGGGCACCTGAAGGGGACGGGGAGCTTCTAGCTCCAGGGCAAGGGGACCCCCAGCCCTCCCAGAGTACCGAAGAACTGGTGGAGGGATTGGACCTGGGTGAGGAGCCACCAACCCCATTGCTATTGGAGGAGGATGAAGCCTCAGGCAGCACCGAGGAACCCATGGCAGAGGAGATCCCAACAGAGAGCCTAATGAGGAAGGAGGAGGAAGAAGAAGAGGGACAGGAGCAGGAGGGGGAGGAGGAGATGTCTACCTTGGAGCAAGGAGAAGGCATCCTGCAGCTGCGGGCCGCTTCCGTAAAACGAAAAAGCAGACCCTGTTCCTTGCCAGTCTCTGAGCTGGAGACGGTCATCGCGTCCGCCTGCTGTGACCCCGAAACCCCACGGACACACTACATTCGAATCCACACCCTGCTGCACCGCATGCCCTCTGCGCAGAGCGGCCACGTGGGAGAGGAGGAAGAGGGCGCTGAGGAGGAGTCCACCCTCAAGGACTCCTCAGAGAAGGATGGGCTCAGTGAGGTGGATACAGTTGTTGCAGACCCGCCTCCCCTAGAGGAGGATGGGGTGGTACGCGAGGGGGCGACTCCAGGCCTGACGCCAAACGGCCACACCGGGGACCCGTTCCCCAGCATGGCCAATGGCCCAGTGCTGGGTGGCGAGCTGCACCCCAGTACCGGGAGCGAGAGCGACTCCAGTCCCCGGCAGGGTGGGGAGCACAGCTGTGAGGGCTGCGATGCTTCCTGCTGCAGCCCCTCCTGTTACAGCTCTTCTTGCTGCAGCCCCTCCTGCTACAGCTCTTCCTGCTACAGCGCTTCCTGCTATAGCCCCTCCTGCTACAACGGTGGCAACAGGTTCGCCAGCCATACCCGCTTCTCTTCCGTGGACAGCGCCAAGATCTCCGAGAGCACGGTCTTCTCCTCTCAGGATGACGAGGAGGAAGAGAATAGTGCGTTCGAGTCCGTGCCGGACTCGGTACAGAGCCCAGAGCTGGACCCGGAGGCCACCAACGGCCCTGGGCAGTGGCCAGAAGAGCTAGCTGGCCCTGGTGTGAGCGCGGCAAGAACCGCGGATGGGCTGGAGTCCCCCGTGGCAGGGCCAAGCAATCGGAGAGAAGGTTAGACCTCAAAGCTGAGCAGAGAGAACAGAGCCATCAGGGGGACACAGTGAATAAAGCATCACGAAAGGGTGGGATCCAGTCTGAATCAGGGCTGCTGGAGCAATGGATGCCAATTGTGTACATACGTGTGTGCATGTGTACATATGTATAGTTGGATACAGATATTGAACATGGAGCCGACCAGGTCCCTGGAGGAAACGGCAGGCACCAAGAAAGGAGACCCCAATATGTTCCCCAAGAATTACATAGTTGAATATGAGTGTGGATTTGTGTGTGTGCTTTCTTTAGATTTGTTTACCTAATCACCAGAACTGGTTAGTGCACACGTTACCCTCTGGTCTTGACAGAATTCAGTGTCCAGCCCAGTACTGGTTGACAAAAGTCAGGTATAATAATATATCCTCAGCATCTCTTAGATAACGTTTAAACAGAACTGCTGATTCTCCACAACACATTGGAGATGAGCAATAAATGTCAGCATCGGTTGAAGAATACTATTACCTTTTTGTCAGGATTTAACTAACCCGTATACATATGGCTACATACTGCCTACGTATATTTGCCATGATTTCGGTCTATTCAACTCTGTGTGTTGTTTTGTTTTTTGCTAGTGGAAGGTAAGAATGTCCTGAATCATTATGCTTCAAACAGGATTCTAGTCTAAAAGTGCTAGCTCTAGTTTAAAATGTATTCTATTTGTTAATCAAAGACTTTCCTTCTTACACAGGCCTACAGTATCACATTCTAAGTAGAGTTTTATTTTTTCAGCCAGAGTTGGGAACCATTTTACAGTCAAGTAACAGTGACAAAAGGGGGAAAGAGGAAATGGGAAACCCACGTCATTTTAATGAAATAATTCAGTTGTTTCCAAGGAGAAAATACACTCTCTGCTTGGTTGATGTTCTACTGTATCATTTTGCATCCAAACAAACTGTGATAGTATTATCTTTAGATTTTAAGCTCATCAAGGGCCAGAAGTGTGTCTTTCTGTGTGTGTGAATTCCCAACACCTAAACAAATAGAGGCCTGGTGTGGCACTGAATTGCTAACCACAAGGTTGTCATTTCAAACCTACCAGCCACTCTTTGAAAACGAACCAACTCAACGGCATTTAACAACAACAACAAAAAAATGCCTGGCACCTACATTTTAATTTTTTTTTTTTTTTAAATGGGAACTCAAGTGAACGTAAAAAAAAAAAAAAAACTTAAAAAAAAATATTTTAACAGTGACAAATTTGACATTTTAGAGAAGCTAGTAAGGAGTGATGAGGTATGTAGTGAGGAGAAGCATAAGAAATTGGTAGAGAAAGAGAAACACGTGAGAAAAGATTAAAGCAGTGTTAAAAAGTTTACACAAGAAATAATGATAAATGTTGGACAGTAAACAACACTGGAGGAGTGAGACTGGGATGAAACATTCCTTTATGAAAGGATGCTTTGAGTACCTTCTTTGTTCTAGACTAGATTCTTTGTACTAGGGAAGGCAAATCAACATCAGATAATGCATGATGGTACTTGTAAACCTAAAAACCCATGTGATGCCTGTCCTCTAGGGATCCCCACCTGTGGGCTGCCCCGGCATAAACAAAAAATTACAACAGGAGAAGATTCAGTGATATACACACAGACGGGCGTATTTAGGAACTCACAGGGATGTTTTAGACCAAGGGATTAACAAATGGGTTGGATCTGTAGAAGGGTTTTAAAAACTATTTTCATTTGAGGTTGAAAAAGGAGGTTTTTAAGAGGAAAGAGAAGCAAACAATAAGTAAAAAATGCAAACTGTTCTTGCCTAATTTCATGTTTTTTTGTTTTATCATTTTTACATTTTACACTTTAAAATGTAAAAATCATTCTTAGGTTAGGGGTACACAAAAACAGGCAACAGGCCAAATTGCTGTTTAGACTGGGTGATATTTTGTCAGCCATGCGAGTAAATACCTACATATGACAACTGTATGTAGACTCAGTATATATTTATATAAAAGCATGTTTTATAAAACAAGACACTATTTGTGCCCTTGAGTGGCTGACAGTCTAGTAATGGGAAGCAGGTAAGGATTTGAGGGCACAAGTTCAGTGGTTCTATTTCACCAGCCACTCCTTGGAAACCCTATCTATACAAGGTTGCTATGGGCCGGAACTGACTGGATGGCGCATAACAACAACCGTTTAGGAGTCTTTGCAGGGTACTGTTTCTAAGCAAATTTCTACATTCCTGAATTCTGTAGGCTAGATTCAGAAAAAAGATGAAGAAATCCTTATATGCTTTGCTCTAGCAGTTACCATGGAAAATAAGAAAGTTCTTAACAGACTGTTGAACTTATTAAGGTCATGAATCTCTTAGTATAGGATTTCACAGTTAGTTCTACCTGCCACAGTCGTGAGTTTCTGAGCTCCTGGGCACCGTGTTGTGAATTCATCCTTCACTTTCCAACAGGTCTTCTAATGCATATGCTCAAAGAAGGCAAGGCTTCAACATAACCTGTCTGATACACGTTAATGTGGGTGGCCTTTTCTTCTGGAAGAACCAGTGTTATTGTTGTGAAGTGCTGTTGAGCTGGTTCTGACCCATAGCGACCCTGTACAGGGTTTCTGAGGAACAGCTGGTGAGCTTGAACAGCCAACCTTGTGGTTCAAATCAACTCTGTAGTCCAGCACATTAACCCACAGCGCCATACAAGGGCTCCAATATGGCCCCCTTATTGTGACTTCTTGGATTGGAAATTCTTTTGCTATAGAAACTACATTAGATTAGCTAAGGTAGACTCACTGTACATGTGTTCACATAGAAATATGTCTGCTGCAATTTATGGAGTGTGCATCTTTTTTTTTTTTTTTTTTTACCTATTGTTTGCTCTCTTTCCTTTATAAAACCCTCCTTTTTTAAGCACAAATGAAAATAGTTTCTAAAAACCTTCTACAGATGAGGGGAAAAGAGCAGGATAATGATGTTGTGATTTTGAGATCAGTCGCACCATTTCCTATCCTTGATTAGCCAAGTGACCTAACTTCTCTGTGCTCCTGTTTCTTCATTTGTAAAATGAGTATAACTGTAGATCCTACATGAAAGGGTTGTTGGAAGGATTCAGTGAGATGGCAGGAATAAAACCCACTGCTTCTCATCTACTGAGTGCTCACGCTGTATTAGCTCTTTCCCAAACAGAACAGAATTTAAAAGAACCTCCCTTCTTTTGAGCCTGAGGAATAAGTTTCCTTCTCAAATGTTCTAGCAAGTCTGGACACTTGCTTTGTGTCTGTGGCAAGGCGTTGGCATCTTTGCATAATCAATTGCTCTCCAGCGTGCTCCATCAGTCCCCCTGGCTGAGATGTGTCAGTCACAGCATTGCATTGGCTTGGGTTTCACAAGCAGGTGGGTCAGCAACATTAATCCCAGGCAAGTGACAGTATTATGTGTCCACTAGCTTGGAGGAGTAATTAATTTACCTGATTGGCTGAATCAATTACAGAAAGATAAGTTTGGTCTCTAAAACATAATAAAAGAAAGAAAGAAATACTAATCTAAAAATGCAGCAGCTGGTGACATAACAACTGCATCCCATGTTTTGTTGTTGTGTGGTTTAAATTTCTGACACTGATCACATAGAAAAACAAACATGAGTGTGTTCTCCTCTTAAGCAGATAGCCATGTTGGAGACAGGAATTTGTTCACAATGAGCTGTGTGACCTTAGGGTCTCAGAGGACTCCAGGGATTTGAGTTTCTTTTGCAAACAAAAGTTTACACAAGAAATAATGATAAATGTTTGACATTAAACATTCCCTTTGCTAGTCAGTGCTAGCAGTTAAGCTGCTAAAATCAAGCCCATGTAGTTTCCTTCCTTATTAATTTATTTTTATTTTTGATCAGTTCTGTGGCTCTAGAGTTTGACCCTGAGAAATTGTCATCCTTACTACCTTACAGAATTTGAGATCCCTCAAAGATCGAAACCACTTTTTTTTCATAGTTTCTTTCATTTTGAGACAAAGGATAATGTACAGGGTGTATCTACCATCAGTCATGGAAGGATGGGAAGAGAAAAGGTCCAATTATCAGTAGGGATTGTTGCAAGAAAATCAGAGTCAAGTGAGGCTAGGAGGAAACCAGTCTGAGTAGCGTGGACCCTCCAAGTGCTCCAAAGATGACGAATAGTTGTCTCTGATTATGTGGCCCAAAGAGCTGGGGCTGTGCCCTCCATCCAGATGGCTAGCCTACACACAGAGTTTCCTTCCCAGGGTCTGGTAACATCATGTAATAGCAACACCATTTTAGAACATTGTTCAGTTCATTTTAAGTCTTAACTGAGATGCTACGAGACCAATCATGTTTCATTCTGTTATACATAAGTTAGCCATGAGTCACAGCCAAGTCCACAGCAACTAACAACTAAAAAAATACAATAATTTGAGGCGTATATATTCTCTGAATATACTGTTCATTTCTAAAATGTCCCATGTCTGTTTTTCTTCCTCCTTCTTTTCCCCTTCTGTGTTTCCAGTTTTCTTGTCTCAGTCTTTCTGCCTTTATCGACTTCCTTCGTCTCTTGTCCTTTCCTTTTTCCAGGGCACCCTGGCTTGTCTGATTCCACCTTAAAATCTGGGAAATCACTCTACCCCATATCACCTTGGGTCCTGGCCCCTGGAGTTTGACATTCTTGGCACGCTGGCTCCTTTCTTTCACTCCGTCTTGGAAAAGGCACCATCTGAGAGTTTCATTAAAAATTAAAGAGAAATCTGGAAGCTCTCTTGGCAGCCCTCTAGTGAAACCTATCCAAATCAGGAATTGTAATTTTGCACAGGCCAAGTGAATCAGAGGGCCTTGCAAATACGTGGTGCACTGCACTCTATTAGGTCTGGCTGCTTCCCTGGGCTAAGTCAAGCTCTGCTGGTTTCCTCTTATGTTGCTTTTGGATGTCACCTTCCCATTAAGAAAGTCCAGGTGGTTACAAAACCAGAGTGTGACCTATATATTGGTCTGGGTAGTCATGAAATGTTTACATTTTTCTTTGGATTTAAAATTTTTTAAATAATCCTGTCTCTGTGAGTGACTATGAATGTAGCAAACAACCACAAAACAATAGATTACCCAATCTTTGGGGGTTGTTTCTTTTAGTAGTCTGTTTTATAGTCATGCTTTTTTGATGACGTTGCCTCAGCAATGAATGAACCTAAATGTTTTGACTATCTTGTCCTTAGGTGAATGTCCTATACTCCATAATTCCCAGCCTGTAAGCCAGCTTCCTTCCTTGAGGCCTGAACACCACCACTACCCAACAATCGATGAGCCTCTTCCACCAAGTAAGATTTAGTTTTTAAACTCTATATCTTAACTCTGTCTATTGAGTCTAAACAGGTCAGTACGAATTTGTATATAACATACAAATTCTTCCCCAACTCCACTGTTATCAAAAAACCCCAGTATGATGCCGACTAGAAAAAATGGTCTTTTGACTAATGTTTTCAATACATTATCTTGAAGAAATAACCCAGAGACTTTAGTGCCTTTCAACTTCAGAAATGGAGAGCATTTCTTTGCAAGACTTGACTCACCCTTGCTAACTGTTTATATGACTCTCACGTCCTAAATTTTACTATTTTATAGTTAAGGTTTTATACCTTAAGATCGATTAATCCTAATGGTCTCCATTGGCTCTGTTGTGGCTTCAGTATCTCCAGATAATAGAATAATAACTTCAGTCCATCAGGACTCATGAACTTGCCTTTTCTTTTTCTTTTTTCTTTTTTTCACTATCACTTGAATTGCTAGGCAACACACTAAAATTCTTTAGTATTTCTTGGAGGTTGCCAAGCAAAATGTCATCTTTAGGAGTATAATTCATATCATTTTCTCCCAATAATTGTAGTGTGTAATAAATAATTAGTCATCTAAACTTGGAAAAGTCATTTAATATCTCAGGGACTTGGGTTTCTCATTTGTAAAGTCAAGCTTTAATCCTCCTCTTCTAGTAAATACTAGGTTTGGACTAAATAATCGAATTTTTCTTCTAGCTTTAATGTCTTCATTATAATAAATTTATAAAGAGGACCTGATGCCCAGATATTATAGAATCACTTAGCATCACTTGCATTTAGGATTTTCTAGAAACAGCTCTGCTTTCATTTACTCTTCTTGTTTAAACAAAGGTAACCGTTTACAGTTGATAAGTTTTACAACTGCAATCTTTTCTAGATGCAGGGAACCAGTGTGTCTCTGAACTCTTTTTCCTGTCCTTATAGTAAGCAGTTCCAATTTTCAAAAGGAGAAGTGAATATTTCTTAATTCATCTGTTCTTGATAGTCAGACATATTTTGAATGAGCATCACTCTTTTCTCTGTCAGTGAAAAAATAATGAATATCTCTAATATATGAATTAAGATGAAGGAACACCTTTACTTATTTATTTATTTTGAGGCTTAACCCCCAGGCAAACTCATGACTTCACAGTTTCAGTCCTATCAGGAAATGTCGAGACCTGGAGTTCCATTTGGATATTTTTGTTTTTGTTTATAAAGTATATGAAAGTAAGTTCTTTCCACAGCGATTCAGAAAGCATAATCTCAGATTAATTAAGCTATCACTTTCTGAACATTTATTCATTTATATGATCTACCATTATGTACTCTAGATATTTAATGAGATACCTGCAGTATAAAGGAAATCTACTATATAAGAGCCTTTTTAGCTGACCAATATCCTTTTCCAATTTATCTGACCAACATCCTTTTTCATTCAGAAAAACTGCCACTTGTAGAGAGAAATTATCAGCATTGTTGCTCCACTCTCTAGTTTCCTTTGTTGGTTGTTTTGTTTTTTCCCTAAAAATTTATGACAGTCAAGCTTTGTTTTTGAAGGAATTCTTTCTTTCTTGTCAGCAACTTGTCAGGCAGGGACTCATCTTATTCAGGTCTGCATCTTTGGGGCCTGTCATAGTACCCAGTGCATAGGTGTGTATGCAGTTCAGTTGAACAGCATGATGGTCACCAAAGATTAACATTCATTCTTTGATGGATGACAGGTGTGCTGGAGGCAAGAAAAATAATTGTCCAATTACTTTTATTAATATCAATTTGCGAACCTTTGAAATGTCCATTTTTTCAGATCAAATTTTGATTACCTAGGAGTCCCTGGTGGTACAAATGGTTAATGCACTCAGCTACGAACACAAAGATTGGAGGTTTAAGTACATGCAGAAGTGCCTAGGAAGAAAGACCTGGCAGTCTGCATGGACCTCCGTAAGTTAGAATAGACTCATCAACAACTGTGGTTTCTTTTTAACAATGTGTTTTAAAAAATGCATTCATGGATGAGCTAACAGTTACAACTGTTAACAGCAGGATTATCTGATAGTTCTTTTGAATCAAGCCCCAGGATATATTTATATAGTTTTCTTTCAAATTGTCTTCAAAGTTAAAGGTGATGTTTTCTAATATTTTCATTTTTACTGGGCATTATTTGGCAATTCCTCAGGTAAGCATGAAATGCATAAGCAGGGGTCTCTACTAGTTACACATAAAACCACAACTATACCAAATGCATTGTGGTTTTTGGCTTCAAAAAAAAAAAGGAAAGAGAGTTGCTATGTCATTACCTGAATAAACATTTTTTCCACAGAATTTTTTAAAAATATCAGACCAACTCCCCAAACCTATGGCTTTTTTCACTTTGAGCAGCTTCCTTCCTTGTACCATCATTCTTGCCTTGGCTTTTTCAGTCTAATGCATTTTTCAACATAACTTACACGTCATCATGATGCTGTTATTTTCACACATGGACTTTAAAAGCTTTGACCTTTTCTGGAGAGCAGACCTTGCCTCTTTTGTTTTAAGCTCAGAAACATACATATTCCTTCCAGCTCTCTCAGTTTTGAAAATGCTTCCATGCACACAATGCAGCTCTCACACGTATCATGCTTCCAGCTTTGATTTATTTAGTTTTCATTTGGGAAGTAAAGGAACTTATCTTTATCTCAGGCTCCCTCTACTGTTTGGGATGATTACTGTCAACAAAGAGGTATTTAAAAGTTGAATATTTGTTAACAACCGCTATGTGTTTTATTGTTTCTTTTGGTCAAGAAATATTTGGCTGCGACAGATGGATGGCTCTTTGTCAATCACTGTAAAATCACAGCTTACCAAAAAACTTCTTCAGTGTCAAATCTTCCAGTCACCCTCTCATGAGACATGGAAACCATTGCTGATTATTAAGTAAAGGTCATCTAAAGTGCATGTAAGGAGCCCTAGAGAAGCAATGGCTAAAGTGTCACCTGCTAACTGAAAGGTCAGTGGTTGGAACCTACTCAGAGGCTCTGCGGGAAGAAGACCCTCAAAGATGACGACCTTGAAAACCCTAAAGGCAGTTCTACTCTGTCACATAGAGTCACTATGCATCAAAAATGGACTGAACTGCATTTCGCAACAACAAAGCTGGACAAAGAGCATCTTAGAGCCGTATTTTAAAATCCATTAGCTCCAAACACTGTTATGCCCTCCACAGCACTTAGTCCCCCTCTCTGATAGTATAGTGGTTATGAGTCAAGCTGCTAACCTCAAGGTCAGTATTTCAAAACTACCAACCGTTCTGCAGGAGAAAGATGAGGCTTTCTGCTCCTGTAAAGATTAATAGCCTTGGAAACCCTATGCAGGTCGTTATGAGTCAGAACCAACTCCACCGTTGCTGCCACCACCACATTTAGATTGAGCAGAGAAAGGATTTGCCAGTATCCTAAGCAGCTGTTCCTGCTGAAGGACTTGTCCAATCTCCCAGCTGTCATTCCAGTAGCCAACAAGATTGGCAGTTAAGATGTTCATTTTTTAAGAAAGGAAGAAATTAAACATTAGACTTTCTCTTTAGAAATCATAACAATCCTAATGTAGGTCATATCCAAGGATTCACAAGTATGGTTTAAAGCGGCCCAGTAGAATTCAGTAAACTCTTTGCTAGATTTCCCCTCAGAAGTTTTGGGAGGTGCTTTGGCTGGTGTCTAAAGGCATTCAGCAGCTAACCAAAGGGCAGTTTTCAGGGATCAGCTCCTCAGCTATGGTTCTGACTACAGCAAAACCCCTTCTTCCCTCCTGCAGTATCGAGGGAAACAATAGGTGAGTTCTACCTGCAGAAGACCTGGAATGGTGTCTACTGCACATGGGTCATTAGTTTGTACTTCATTTTTTGTTTTTGTCTTTTGTTCTTGCCTTGTTATTCAAAACTAGACTGGGAAGCTCGAATTGACAGCCATGGGCGGGTCTTTTATGTGGACCATGTGAACCGCACGACTACTTGGCAGCGTCCAACGGCAGCGGCCACGCCCGATGGAATGCGGAGATCAGGGTCCATCCAGCAGATGGAACAACTCAACAGGCGGTTGGTGATCAGAATGCAATGGGCTCCTATAAACCATAGTCAATGGGGAATGAAAATAAAGACACTTCCCCCTATAGTGTCCTGTTCACATTGAATGAGGAGACTGAGAAGAATTAAATTCCTTAAAAAATGTATTCATTGTAGGTACTTGGGATGCTAGGTTAAGATTTTGTTAACAGGAGATAAGCTAAATGTCCTGGTGTGGCACTGTAGGATACGCACTAGACTGCTAACTAGAAATTCAGTGGTTCAAGCCCCCCAGTCGCTTCTCAGAAACCCTATACAGGATCACTTTAAGTCGGAACCAACTCAACAGCACTTAATAACAACAACAACAAATGTTACTTAAAAATGAGATGTCCTCGGTCCTTAATGACCTAACTTAAAAACAGGAGTTCATAACTAAGGGCTTACAGGTCCCCAGGGTACTCACTGATGATGATAGTGTTGCGGGACCCCCAGAAATTATATGCAGAAGTCTGTATGGAGTCACAGCTTCCTGGAAGGCTGACACATATCCATCATGAGATCCTTCACGAGGACCATAGTTTCAATTGTGCCACGGATAGGGTTCTGAAGAATGCCAAAAGCTGCTTGGAAAGAAACGGGATCACAAATCACTGTCTGTCCCAGTCCCAGAATTGGTATATGCTCAATAATAATAATTTTTGTAATGTTTTATCTTAGAAAAAGAAATGTTTAACAAATATTTTGAGAACTGTTTTGTTGGAAAAGTTCACCCTTACTATCAAACTTACTAAGATGTCATTTGTTTGTTTGTTGTTTTTTTTAAGTTTTTATTGTGAATTATGTGATAGTTTACATGTGAGAATACCAGCTTTACATTCATCCTCTCATACTTCATTTTATTGCAATGATTACAATCCCCTCTATGCATCATCGAACAACCAAAGACTACACCCTGCAAGTCTACACCTCGGCCATCAGCAAACAGCCCCTCTCCCTTCCTGAGTCCAGAGTCCCCAGCTGCTCCATCTCTCCATGTCATCATCTCTGCCTCCAATCTGGCATCACTGCTTCTCTGGGTAGGGTCCTGCACTCCACTCTTCTCACTTCATGGTCCCGCTCCTGGACTGCAATGTCAACCACTCCCCACCTTTTGTTGCAAAACATCTACTTTTACATTTCCAACCTTCACAGTCAGTCCTGATAGCGATTATTCACTATTGAACCACAGAAGTGTTATCCCCATCACCTTTTATGAGCCCCATCCAGACAGGTTAGAAACAACTCAGTGGAGATTCTACCTTTCCCTGTACCCTCTGGAACTAGGTTCCCTATTGAAAGCTTGTAAGCCAGTCACTCCTTGCCTTTGTAGCTCCCCGCCCACCCCCCTCAATTTTGGGTAGCCAATGTCTACATTTTACCTATCCTTGTTGAACCTGTGTACCAGAGGGGTGGGAATTATCCTCATTGTAAAGATCTGTTTACTCTTGCCATACCACATCCATAAGCATAGGTCAAGTTCATCTAATTGCAGTGGACTCTTTTTTTTCCCGTTCTTTCTTCCTCTAGTCATGTTCCGATCATCCAGTCATTGAAACCAAGTCAAATGGGTACTATCTGCAAGTATGAGTGTTCTTGTGTCCCCTCACTTCATATCAGCTGGATGCTTCATACTCTGCTCTGATCCTCTGGGCCCAGGAGTCCCCAGGTCTCACCATACTGCTGGCTAACCAGGTCTCAATCCAGGTTTACAGGAGTCTATTGAATGTGGTCGGACTTAGCTCACAACTTCATTGCTGTCTTTCCCCCAGTTCCCCTTACCGGTGACCAACGTGGTCAGCAGCAAGACCACATGCCTGCTTGTATATTCACCTTGAGTTTTAGTCTTGGAAGGGGGTTTGCCTTGAGGGGACCTGACCACTTGCCTTGATGGCTCCCGGGCCAACAACTTGCTCATTCTGGTAGTAGTCAATCAGACTGCTGTTATTGTTTGTATTTTTCCTGCTGGTCTTTCTTTCAAGACGTGTCTTCTGTTCTTCTAGCCACTCCAGGCTGCTCTGCTTGTCCTCTCAAGAGGAAATTTCTCACCACAGAAGATTTTGGATGGGAATCAGGATTCCACCTATGGTCTTATGTAATACAGAGGCTCCTCAGGAAGCCTCCTTCACTGGGCAAGTTCTAGCTCCATTTTAGGTATTCCAATCAGTTATAAGCTGAAGACAGACTTACAAGCTTCCTATGGTGATGATTCTGGCTATTTATTTTTCTCCCTTTCAAGTGTCTATTTTACAATAGTAGGTAAGGAAAACCAAGATTCAAAAGACAGCCAAGCATCTTAACATCATTTCCCCACTTTTTCCCCTTCAAACTGTGCCTCAATCCCTGTATCCCAGAGCCCTGTTGTTCCAAGGTTGTGCTTACATCATTATTTAGATGTCATTTGTTTTTAAACCTGCAGATTGAACTCAAAGCATTGTCTCCCAGGCTTTAAGCTTACAAATAGTGCCATATCCCACTTTTGCTTCTTCAAGTCTAGAAGAGAGGCTTTGAGACACTTCCAGTTGTCAGGAATGCAAACTTCATGCTTAACTTTAGATTGAAATTGTTTCTACATGCCATCTTGTTTACATAGTAAGTACTGTGAAGCTATAGGAATGGTTGAGAGAGACATGGAAAAAGAGAGAAATAAGGTTTTAGTTCACATCCATGATAGCACGGAGTCCTGGTGTGGCGCTATGGACTAATGTGCTGAGCTGCAAAGTCGGTTTGAACCACAAGGTCAGTGGTGCAAGCTCACCAGCTGCTCCTCAGACACCCTATGCAGGGTTGCAATGGGTCGGAACCACTTGACAGCACTTAACAACAACATGATAGCAAGGCATCCTGGTGTGGTGCTACAGTTAAGCACTGGACTGCTAACTGCACGATAAGTCGTTCAAACTCATCAGCTCCTCCTCAGAAGCCATATACTGGATCACTATGAACTGGGAAGGGACACATTAAGAAGAATAGCAAATGTTCTTCAAAACATAACTATATTGACCAGGAGGGGGGAATAAAAGTGGGCTGTTTAATCTTATTAAAAATACACAAACAAAAATGCAAGCTTTTGGCTACTGTTGTACATCCTGGTGACGATCACCAGGATATTCTTTTATTTCATAGACAGTTAGACAATGCTTAACTTTCTTTTTCCTCCTCAGTAAATGCTCAGCAGCTAACTAAATGCACCCAGGAGCTCTGCAGGAGGAAAGACCTGTTGAACCACTCAAGATAACAGCCTTGACAACCTTATGGGGCAGTTCTCCACTGTCCTCTAGGGTCACATGAGTTGGCACACAACAATAACAACAGCAGCCTAGTACTTAAATCAGTTGTGAGAACCATTGGTAGTATAGTCTTCTATGATTTTTCCCACAGAAACATAGCATATTACAAGATGAGCTTGTGGTAACCAGTTTATCAGATGAAAACACACCAAATGGTGTGTTTTAATGGTGACTGCAACAAAGCTCTTTTAGCTAATAATGTAGAGGATGGCAGCAAGCATATTTCATGCAGGTCTGTCTTGCCAGAACAGATAAACTGAATTTGCTTATAGATTGAGAAATAAGGGAGAACATCAGGCTATAGCTATAAAAGGTGCTGTTTGAAAACTGAAGTTGAAATATACATGTAGACTTTGTAGACATATCTGGAACTGAAGGAATCAACTTGACCGAGGGCATAAAATTCAATCCATGAACGTCCGTGGCATATCACTTACCTATGGTGGTATAATATAAAAATAGTTGCCTATTATAAAAATGAGGACAAAGCCATGTCCAGCCATGCCTATAGAGAGGTTTTAGTGTTTTATACATAAAATTCTTTGCCCTCCAGTGGAGCTGAATGTGCTGGAAAGGCAGCTACACTTCACCGACTTGAAAGTTGCATTTGCTGAATCCATCTGGACAGATAAAAAGGGAAGAAATTTAGCAAGTTGAGGAAATGCTTTTTTCTTGTGAAAAAGCCTACTTAGGCAGATCAGATAATCTCCAGATAAATAATCGGGGTCTTCAATAGATATCTTCATCTGTTGCTTCTAAGCATTTAAAGTGTTGCCGTGTAATTTGATTGCAGCCACAGAAAGTAATACTGCTGTTATTCGGTGCCCTCAAGTCAATTCCTACTCATAGTGACCCCATGTCCATCCGAGTCATTGCTATGTTTGACCCCATTGTTGCAACTCCTATGTCACTCCATCTCCTTGAGGGTCTTCCATTACTTTATCAAGCATTAAGTCATTCTGCAGAAGCTAGTCCCTCCTGATAATGTGTTCAAGGTACATGAGATGAAGTTTCACCATCCTTACTTCTAAGGAGCATAGCATTCTGGCTTCCAAGACAGATTTGTTATACTCAATACTCTTCACTAACCATAATTCAAATGCATACATATGAATCAATTGAAAATTCCATGGCTTGGGTCAGGAACACCTAGTTCTCAAAGTGAAATCTTTGCTTAAAGATATCTTTTGCAGAAGATTTGCCCAATGCTTGATTTGATCGGCCCAATACCCATTGTTTGATTTCTTCAATGCTGTTTCCATGAAAGTCGACTGTGAATCCAAGTAAAACAAACTCCTGGGCAGCTTCCATCTTTTCTCCATTTATCATGTTATTCATTGGTCCAGTTATGAGGATTTCTTTATGTTGCAGTATAATCAGTACTGAAATCTTTGATCTTCATCAGTAAGTGCTTCACATCTTTGCTTTCAGCTAGCAAAGTTGTGTCATCTGCAAATAAATAAGTCTTATTTAGTCTTCCTCCAATCTTGATGTTACATTCTTCTTCTTACACTTCAATTTTACAGATTATTTACTGAATTGAATAAGACTGATGAAAGGATCATACAAATTGAAGAAGTATGGCAAAAGGATACAACTCTGACACATACCTTCTCTGATTTTAACCACACAGTCTCCCCATGTCTATTTGAATAACTTCCTCTGGGTCTATGTACAGGTTGTACATGAGCACTATTAAGTGTTCTTGAATTCCTTCTTCACACTGTTACCCATAATTTATTATGATCCATAAGAAAGTCAAATGCCTTTGCATCATCAGTAAAACACAGGTAAATATATTTCTGTTATTCTTTACTGTCAGCCAAGTTTCATATGATGGTACCTCTGATTCTACCTCCTCTTCTGAATCCAACTTGAATTTCTGGCAGTGTGAGAAGTCAGAGAAGATTGGAACGGCAGATGTATTTAGTAACGAGAAAAGACAAAAAATAAATACTTATTTTATCTTTTTTCCTTAAATAACACAAATTTAATAGATTTATTGAGTAAGGAATTACCATTTCCAAGCAGTGTCCACTATCCATTTTCATGCTTCTTTACATTTTCCAATTCATGAATTGCCAGGACCCTGTTGATGTACTATTGCAATGGTTTTTTAATCATCTTCAGCATAATTTTACTTGCATTCGACATTAATGATATTGTTCAATAATTTTGCATTCTGTTGGCTCCCCCTTCTTTGGAATAGGTACAAAAATGAATCTCTTTATTTGGTTAGCCAGATAACTGTCTTTCAACCTTTTTGGCATAGATGAGTGAATAATATTACAGATTTTTACCTATCTCAGATCATGCACAGGGTCACATTTTGATATCCTGCCATTATCACAAGATAATAATACTCATGGCAATATAGATATGCATCTGTGTTGCAAGAAGAAAATTTCCTTGGCTCATGCATGACCAGTGCTTGTGGATATCACATTTGTTTGTGCCAGAGTATATGGACAACTGCAGAGTGTGCAATAACAGCATGTAAGCGGTTTGGGGAGGCTAAGTTGACTGTGGTAAAACTCAGCAACTGCCCAAACACAGCACACTCTGCCAGGCCTTTATGTCTTTGCAACATGCTCCCATGGCAAGGAAGTTCCTCATGCCTGCCTTCTACCTGGTAACCATCTCCTAACCCTCCAAGGCCAAACCCAAATAGCACACGATCTGTGAATTCTCCACACAGAGTCACTGAATTCTTCCTCTTGTTGTTAAGTGCCATTCAATCAGCTCTGACTCTAAGTGATCCTATATAGAGTTTCTGAGGCTTTAAATCCTCGAGGGAGCAGAAAGTCTCATTTTTCTCTCTTGTGGTGACTGGCAAGCTTTCCTCCTCTGTGATCTCATAATAGTGCAAACTCTGTCTTAATTTCCTAGAGCTCCTGTAACAAGTATTGTAAAGTAGGGGAGGTAGTGTGGAAAGCAGAAAGGGATGTAAAAGTACAGAAAGTTATCATCTTACATTTCTGGAGGTTACAAGTCCAAATCAGGGGAATGACCATGTTGATGCCTTCTGAGAACTCTATGAGTTCTCGTGCCTTTCTTTTAACTTCCGGGGACTGCCAGCAAGCCTCCGTGTTCCTTAGTTTGCAACTGTCTTTGCCTCCATTCTTCCTTTGTCTGTATCTGTGCCTGTTCATTTTTAGAAGTCACCACTCCAGTGATAAGGATTGGCAAAGTGGGCTCAAGCGTGCTTAAGCGTGACAACAATAGTGAGGTTGGCCCAGGATCTGGCAGTGTTTCATTCTGTTGTGCATAGGGTCGCTATGAGTCGGTACTGACTTGATGGCACCTAACAACAACAATAACAACAACAACTCCAATAGGATTAGTACACATCCTACACCATCTTCAAAAAGCCTATTTATAAACACGATTATGCTCGTATCATTTGGGGAGACACCATTGAATCTATGTTGTTGTTAAGTGCCATTGAGTCAGTTCTGACTCATAGCGACCCTGGATGGTGTTTCCGAGGAGCTACTGGTGGATTTGAACCACTGACCTTGTGGTTAGCAGTCCAGTGTTTATCCTACAGTGCCACACCAGGACTCCATTCAATCTATAAGACCCTCTATTATAGTTCTTACTTTCTTATGCATCTTTGTTGTCCCCCACCCTACTGGTGTGCCAGAAGTTTAAATCGGACTCAGTGCAAAACTGTTTTCTGAACGAACTCTTTTCAGAATGGCCAGAATTAATGAACTGTACTTTTACAAATATTAATTTAGCAAGCAGCAAATGTAATAGGTATTTTAAATGATCAACTAAAGATGTTGTTGTTGTTGTTGTTGTTAAGTGCCATCGAGTCGGTTTCGACCCATAGCGACCCTGTAGAGAGTTTCCGAGGGTGTAAATCCTTACGGGAGTAGAAAGCCTGATCTTTCTCCCGCGAAGCAGCTGGTAGTTTCGAACTGCTGACCTTAAGGTTCGCAGCCCGATTCATAACCACTACGCTACCAGAGTGTGTTAAATGAGTGTGTTCCATCTTGACTGTGTCTGTTCAAAGGTAAATATCATTTTGTAGTTTGTTTTTTTCTTTGCTCTGAAAGTCCAACACAGGCATATTGTAGTAGTTGGTGTTAGTTGTGATCAAGTTGTCAGCTCCAGCTCAGAGCAGAATGAAACATTGCATGCCCTGTGCCACCTCCATTGAATCATTGATTGGGATTCTGGAACCCACTGTTGAGACTGTGTGTCAGTCCTGTTCCTGGGGGGCTTCCTTGAGTTTTACGGAGCCTTTGTTTTACCAAACATGGTGTCCTTTCCTAGTCTTTCCTGATGTGCCCACAGTAAGAGAGTTGAGGTCTCACTATCCTTGCCTGTAAGGAACATTCTGGCTGTATTTCCACCAAGACTGTTTTGTTTTTTACTTCTAACAGTCCACAGTATATTTGATATTCTTTGCTAGCAATTCAAATGTATGAATTATTCTTCTGCCTTCCTTTTTCATTATCCAGCTTTTCCATGAAATGGCCATAGCTTGGATCATCTCTTAGCCATCAAAGTGGCATATCTCCTTTCTAGAAGTCTAAAGTAGCAGTTTGCAGCAAATTTCCCCCATGCAATAAGTTGGTTGATTTCTTGATACTGATGGTTGATCCATGTAGGATTACATCACTGTCAACTTCCATTTTATTCTTCATTCATTATGCTGTTTGCTATCTGTTGTTATTGTTAAGTACCAGCAAGTCAGTTCTGACCCTGTATTGGGTTTCCAAGGAACCTCTGGTGGGTTTGAACCACCAACCAGCAGTTAGCAGGTTTAGTGCTTGTCCTAAAATGCCACACCAGGTTGTGTGGGGTTTTGTTGGTAAGTGCCGTCAAGTCAGCTCCCACTTATAGAAACCCTGTATTGGATTTCCGATGAGCGGGTGGTGAGTTTCAAGCCTTGTAATTCAAATAACTTGCAGTTCAATGCTTAACCTATGGCATCACATTTAATTAATACCCTGACCAGGTGACTGGCTGGCTCACCAACTGATTAAACTCTCAATTGGGGAAGAAAAGTCAAAGCAGTCTTTGCATAAACTGAACACATTTGTTTGTCTGCCAGCATGCTTTTAGTGTGTACTATTTCCCCTACATCTGACGAAAGTTAGCAATTGCCTGTCAGATAAAAATAAGGAATGGAACTGATTTTTTCTAGTATGTAGTCTTGTAACAGTGATGTAGTGATAATTTGATATCTTGGTAACATTTTTATATACTTTCCACAGCATTATTTTAGATTTACCCAATTTCATTCAATGTAGGGCACAAACTATTTCGTATGATTAGTTATTGTTTATGTTTATTTGTAAACTATCATCACATCAAAACTACTCTTAAAAATAAAAATGTATTTTTAGAAAAATAATCATACTTGAAGCCCATTCAAAACAAAAAGATATCTTCTAGCAATATTTGTCTTGCTAATCTTTTTGTTTCCAAGGAGAGGCTAGTGGGTTTGAACCACCGACCTTGAAGTTAGCAGCCCAGTGCTTATCCAATGGTTATGAATCGGGCTGTGAGCCGCAAGGTCAGCAGTTCGAAACTACCAGCGGTTCCGCGGGAGAAAGATGAGGTGGTCTGCTCCCATAAAGATTTACAGCCTCGGAAACCCTGTGTAGGGTTGCTATGAGTCGGAGCTAACTCCACGGCACACAACAAATTCTTTTTGTGTACCTTGTGGGGATTTAAAACATTTTCTTTCTGATATTCAAGACAATTTTTAATACTTGACAGTTTCTCCAGTTATCTGATTCAGATCTTCAACCCCAAATAAGCAAACAAGCCAAAGTTAATTCCTGTCTTTGCATTTTCTGATGCTTAGGTACCAGAATATCCAGCGAACCATCGCAACAGAAAGGTCTGAGGAAGATTCTGGAAGCCAAAGTTGTGAGCAAGTCCCAGCAGGTGGCGGTGGAGGAGGAGGTGGTGGAAGTGACTCAGAGGCTGAATCTTCTCAGTCAAGTTTAGGTACTGGAAGAGGAGTCCCCAGGAACCCTGGATGACTCCCAGTGGCTGTGGGATGGGCATGCGTGCTTCTTACCCTGTCTACCTCATTGGCTAGGCATGCTCTCTGAGTAAAGAGCAGTGGGATGGGCATAGAACTAAGGTGAAGAGAAAGGTATGCCCCTACCAGGGGCAAGCAAACAGAATGGTATTTCCTTCCAGAACATTTAAAAAGAGGAGGATTCACGGAGAAGAAGCAGTCCTCACCCTGGCTTGGGGAGCCTAGAAATAGGGGCATGGATGGATTCAAAGGGCTTGAATTGGGTTTGTGTCAATACTTCAGTGGCTTAGGCATGGACTTGTAGAATAAGCATGGACTGCAAACCGTAATGTTGGTAGTTCAAACTCGCCAATCACTTCTCTGAAACAATGTACAGTCACTGTGAGTCAGAACCAACTCAATGGCTCTTAACAACAACAAAGGTCTGGTTTTCACTTCCTTGGTTCTGCTTGATTGGAACACTGATGAGGATATGCCAGTGGCATAGTAAACTTGCTTCCACTTTTCAAGCCTGTAATGCTATAAAATTATCATGGTGGTGGTGTCGTGTTGGTATGTCTTGGAGTTGGTCCTGACTCACAGTGACCCCGTATAAGATTTTGGAGGTTGTAAATCTTTCCAGGAGCAGAAAGCTTCATCTTTTTCCCGCAGAACAGCTGATAGTTTTGAACCGCTGACCTTGAGGTTAGCAGCCCGACTCACAACCACTATGCTATCAGGGCTCCTAAAATGATCATAGTGACATCCTAATAACATACTTTCTTTTTTAATTGACATAAATGGCATCGGAGTTATTTGTAGAAAACGGTACTAGAAACAGAGTTTGAGAAAACAGGCTGTGTGATGGTCTCTTCCCCGGCAATGCCGAGTAGTGGGCATGGTCATGGCAGAGCTCAGATGCACATGCAGAGCTCCACTAAAAACATTGTTTACTAGAACTAACTGACTAGCTAAACTGACTTGGTTTTACAATGATTAATTTCGTTGTTCTACCTTTGAGGGAGCTATAATAAAATAGTCAGGTAATGATGAAAATATAGTTCTGGGTTTGCCTTTGGACCAGTTCTCCTTTGCTGTTCAATGAGCCTCCTGAAATTTAGAGTGTTAAAATAAGCATAATATTTTTTACCCCACCAAAGAGTCCTAAAGGAGCTCTGGTAGTGTTGTTGTTGTTGTTGTTGTTGTTGTTGTTATGTGCCGTGGAGCATAGCGACCCTGCACAGGGTTTCCGAGGCTGTTAATCTTTACGGGAGCAGAACGCCTCATCTTTCTCCCGCGGAACCGCTGGTAGTTTCGAACTGCTGACCTTATGGTTCGCAGCCTGATTCGTAACCACTACGCTACCAGAGTGGTTACAAATTGGGCTTCTAATCTCAAGGTCAGAGGTTAGAAACTACCAGCACTTCCCGGGGAGAAAGGTGAGGCTTTCTGCTCCCGTAAAGATTCACAGCTTTGGAAACCCTATGCAGGGTTGCTATGGGTCAGAATTGACTCAGCGGCACTTAACAACAACAACAAAGAGTCCTTAGGTGATGCAACAAATTAAGCTCTCCACTTAAGATTTGTAGTTTGAATCCACCTAGAATTACCTCAGAAGAAAAGTCTGGCAAGCTACTGCCTAAAAATTATGGTCATTAAAAACCCATGGCTCTGACACACATGGGGTCACCATTGTTAGAGTTGACAGTATGGCAACTGGCTTGGGTTTTGTTGATTTATTCCACCATTCTGCAATTCGGCAGTTTGAGCTAAGCTCAGCTGGGCAGTTCCTCTGGACTTAGCTGAGCGCACCCATCTTTTTTTGCTCGGTTATGGAATTGGCTGTGGACTGGCTGGTCCCTGATCATTGTGGCCTCTCATCTTCCAGCAGGCTACGTGAAGCCTGTTCTCACAGTAGTTGTAGGTTTTCAAGGAGAGGGTAGAACCACTAAAGGCTCTTGAGGTCTAGGCTCAGAACAGGCCCATGATTACTTCTGCCTTTTCCACTGGATAAAGCAAGACACAAAGGCAGTCAATTGAAGAAGCGGAGGAAGTACAGTCAGTCGCTTTGAAAATGGGTGTGAACGTAGAGTGGGGTGGGGGTGGGAATTATAATTGTCTGTCCAAAAATTTATCATAATTATGGTTGTTGTTGTTAAGTGCCATTGAGTAGGTTCTGACTCATAGTGACCCTGTATAGGGTTTTCAAGGAGTGACTGCTGGGTTTGAGCAGTCAACCTTTTTTTTTTTTTTTTTTTTCTAGCAGTTCAGTGCTTACCCTACAGCACCACATGGTTAGCCACATATCAAGAAAATAAGAAAACATGACTGGAATAAAGGGGAGAAGATATTAAAGGATGTGACCCTAACTAAAGTTACGCGGAGATACATTAAGTTCCATGACCCCTGGTCCTCTGACTATTAAAATCCACAGGCAGTTGCCATATGGAAGAAGATGTGTGGACAGCAAGCCTAGGTTTGAAATGATTTTTTCCAACATATTCTATCACTTTGCTTTGCTTTCTCCAGATCTGAGGAGAGAAGGGTCACTTTCTCCAGTGAACTCACAAAAAATCACCTTGCTGCTACAGTCCCCAGCTGTCAAGTTCATCACCAACCCCGAGTTCTTCACCGTTCTGCATGCCAATTACGTGAGTGCTGCAAAACAATAGGTCCTGGCCTGACCTTGTCATGATCCACAGCTCAGCTTTGCAAAGATTAGATATTGGAGGAAGCGTTAGAAGATTAGAGAAGGGAACATCTTACCCAGGGCAAGAAATAAGAAAGAGAAGATAGCTTTGTCCACTTGTGACTTTCGAAAAAAGAAAAAAAGGCTGGATTTGAGGATGCTCTTGCCTTGTCTAGTTTGTATAGGTTCAAATTAGTTAAGTGAAAAGGCTTCCTAACAAATACATATTTTTATTATTGAAAAAATTAAAGGAACGAGATTATTAAGTAGCCAGATGCCATTCTATCTGAATCATTTTATAAAAATCATTTTCACTAGGAAACAAATAATAAAGCTATTTTTTAAATTTAAATCTATAAAAAGATTTTAAAATAGATTTCTCCTAGAAAAATAACCAAGTTCCCTCTTAATATAACTCGCTTCTCAAATAACATGCTTAAGTTACATCTTACATGATTTTACACATGTAATTTTTTTGTTTGTTTTTTACTCCATTCTTGGGGAATTTTAAGAAAATAATGGCATGGTATCACCCCATTCATTAATTCTTCCATTTGACAAACATTTACTGCAGTTCAGCCATAGATCTAGGTGCTGGAATTACAAAGACAGATCAGAATAGGAGTTCGTCAATTAATGGAACAGCAAACATGTAAAAAGATCAGTCTAACATGACAGGACAGGACCTGACTGAACTGAAGTAGAAACAAAAATGTCATGGAAACCCAGCAGCATTCCTAAGGAGACAAATGCAGATACAGGCAGGGGAGAAAAGATTTAGTCTTGAAGGTTGAAAGTGGATTGGGATGAAATTCCAGGTGGAGTGACTGACATATTATAAATGACACAACTGTGTGGTTAAAATGATGGCCAAGATGGGAGGGAGGGCTGGAGAAGTAGTAAGGCCCCCTGCAAGTCATGAAAAGCATTTTGGATATACTTCCATAGACAACAAGAAATCATTGGCGACTTGAGACATTGCTCCTACAGGGTCAGGTTACTTTTAGGAAGTACTTTCTCTGACAGAATTGTGAAGGAGAATGGAAGACTAGAAGCTGATCAACATTCAAGTAGAGGTGATCAAGGCTGGGAGTGGACAGAGCACTGGCTCAATTTCCTAGCTCTTTCTGAGGTGGAATCCACAGTATTTGTGAACAGAGACAGAGTGCCCAGTGAGCAAGGTACACCCAGATGAGTAAATAATCTGTATTGAGCAAGGCCATGCTTACCTTGCTTACTGAGTAAATTAGAAAAGAAGCTTTAATTCTGTAGGAAGGTGTTGGGTCTGGAGAGAGACAGTTACCAACCATATCCAGAAGCAGAATTTTTGATGTGGTGAAAAAAATGTGAAAATCTTCACTCTAAATTAGTGAGTAAGCACCAATATGCCTGTGCTTACCTTGTTTGTTGGGTAATCTGGCACTGTTTGTGATGCTTGTGATGCAGGGCAGACAAAGTAAAGCACTCAAGAAAGTTACTGCTCTGGATGCCTGTGTGTATTTGGGGTTGATTGCATTAAGCAGGTGCATGAAGTCTGATTGAGAGAAGGATGTGGGGAACAAGAGGAGATCAGCTTGAAGTAGGATGTATTTGAGAAGCCTCTAGACACCTAGTAATAAGAGCTAGATCACCACACTGCCTTTCAACTGCAAAATGGCTCATTGATGAATCACAAAGGAGTAACCAGAATGGCAGATATCAATACCCTAAACCTGGGCACCCAGGTGGGACCTGAGCCAGAAAAAACAAATGGGCCAGCCTTCTCTAGCTAATGTAGTCATTTTCAACATAAACACATTGCACACACACACACCCTCTGCACTATAACAATGTTCTTTGGCACAAACAGACTAGAAACTCCTGAAATTTTCTTGATCTCTCATTCTCCCAATCACTGTACACACACACGTGCTTTCTTTCAATAGGTGTCAAGAAATTGACAAATCTCTGAAATCTCTAGGAACCCTAAGTCAATATTCCTTATTTTACACAGTTAAGGGGACTAAGGGCAGATGTCTGCATTGGTATCAGGGAGAAAACTGTGAAGAAAAGAGAGGCATGATGGCAGAGGTAGAGGGAGACTTAAGTGAGCGAGGTCACCTGTGCCAGGCTACAGAGGAGTCAGGCAGAGCTGGGATCACCAATAAGCATTCACTTGATAAGCAAATCTCTGCTTCTGAGGCCTCCACCTAGAAGATCATAATGAATCACTATGTACCAATCACTACACCACATGAAGTCACTTAACATGTACTTGATCTGTTTCTCTAATCCTCTCTCAACTTCAACCTGCCCTGCACCCTCTCAGAGTGCCTACCGGGTCTTCACCAGTAGCACCTGCCTAAAACACATGATTCTGAAAGTCCGTCGGGATGCCCGCAACTTTGAACGCTATCAGCACAACCGGGACTTGGTGAATTTCATCAACATGTTTGCAGATACCCGCCTGGAATTGCCCAGAGGCTGGGAGATCAAAACAGACCAGCAGGGAAAGGTGAGTAGGACCAATGTGTGGAGTTTCATCATGGAATAGAGGACAAGTGAGGAAGTGAGGAGGAATGGAGTGGGAGAGCAAAGTCTTGTGTGTCTCCATTAGGAAAATCCAAACACCCAAGCCCAATGCCATTGAGTTAATTTGGACTCATGGCTAAACCATGTTTTACAGATTAGAACTGCTCCATGCGTTCTGGTCACCAAGATTGTTGTTGATAAGTGCCATTGAGTTGGTTCTGACTCATAACGACCCTGTAAAGTGTTTCTGAGGAGTGACTGGTGAGTTTGAACCACTTTGTGGTCTAGTGCTTCTCCTACAGTGGTACAACAGGATGGAGGCATTAATTATCAATATCAGGTTTCCCAGCTCCAGCCCTGCTGTGCGGGTACTGTCCTGTGCATTATAAGAGCATCCCTGATCCCTACCTAGAGTAAGATGTGAGCAGCACTTCCTCCACTTGTGACAACCAATAATATCTCTAGAGCTTGACAAATGTCCTGTGGTAAGAGCAGGACAAAATCATCCTCAGTGGAAGACAACAGCTCTACATCTTTTTTTTTTTTTTTTTTTTAAGTTTGGAATGTTACATTTGATTGTGCTCAGTGACCTTTTTGTCATTTTACCTCTTTAGCTAACTCTCAGGGGATAATATGAGTTAAATGGGGATGATATTCTTAGATTCCTGGTTGTGATTTCCCTAGTGGTGGTGGTGTGAGATGGAGTTGGTTCTGACTCATAGTGACCTTGTATAGGATTTCTAAGACTGTAAATCTTTACAGGAGCAGAAAGCCTCATATTGCTCCCATGGGACAACTGGTAGTTTCGAACTGCTGATCTTGAGGTTAGCAGCCTGATTTGTAACCACTACACTATCAGAGCTCCTTGAATTCCCTAACAAACCTTCAGTTTTCATTCAAGCACCTGGCAAGCAGGAATAGGGTGTCCTGGGCCTAGAATATGTTCCAGGTTTGCATAATGATACTTTTGTGTGATCTTAACCAAACCTGGTTCTTTGCAGCAATGCTTTAGAAACCTAGATGAATGTGCTACTTTTTTTTTTTTCCCTTAATCATCACCAATGATCTCAATAAATTTATTGTTATTATAGTTAAGTGCCAGCATGTCAGCTCTGGCATAGCAAATGTATGCACAACAGAATGAAACACTGGCCAGTTCTGCACGATCCACACAATTGTATTTTTTGTTTTGAGCCATTGTTATCAGCCCATCTCATTGACAGTTTTCCTCTTTGCATGATATCCTTTTCTAAGTACTTGTCCCTTCTCATGATATGTTCAGAGAAGTCTCGCCATTCTTGCTTCTAAGGAATATTTTGACTGTACTTATCCCAAGGCAGATTTATTTATTCGTTCTTCTGGCAGTCTATGGTACTTTTAAATATTCTTTGCTAAAATCACAATTCAAATGCATCAGTTCTTCTACAGTCTTCTTTATTCATTGTCCAACTTACAAGGTGAATGAAAATACTGTGACTTAGATCAGGGGCACCCTAGTCCTCAAACTGATCTCTTTGCTCTTGAACACTTTAAAGAGATCTTTTGCAGCAGACTATCCCAATACAATACTCCATTTGATTTCTCGACTGCCACTTCTGTTATTGTGGGCCCAGACAAAATGAAGTCTTTGACAACTTTTCTCCATTTATCATAAACTTATTAGTCTAGCTGTGAGGATTTTTGTTTTCTTTACACTGAGGTGCGATTCTATTGACGGCTACAGTCTTTGATCATCATAAGTATTTCAAGTCCTCTTTGCTTCTAGCAAGCAAGGTTCTGTGATCTGTATAGCACAGGTTTTTACTGAGTCATCTTCCAAATCTGATGTCACATACTTCTTCATATAGTAGTTTCTCAGATTATTTGCTCAGCATACAGATATAATAAGTATGGTGAAAGGCTACAATCCTGGCACACACCTTTGCTGATTTTAAATCATACTGAATTTCCTTGTTCTTTTCAAACAATTGCCTCTTGTTCTATGTACCAGTTTCACATGAGCAAAACTAAGTGTTCTGGAATTCCTATTCTTTGCAATGATATCCATAGTTTGTTATGATCCACATAGCGGAATGCCTTTACATAGTCAATAACACATACTTACCAATCTTTCTGGTACTCTTTGCTTTCATCCAAGATCAAGCATCAGAATCCAGCTTGAATATTTACTCCAACATCCATTTTTTAAATTGTCTTCAGGAAATTTTATTTGTTTGTAATGTTAATAATATAGTTCCATAATTTCTGCATTCTAGTATATTACCTTGTTTTGGAATGGGCACAAATATGAATCTCTTGCAGCTGGTGGATCAAGTATCTGTCTTCTAAATTTCTTGGCATAGATTTGAGTGCTTATAGCATTGCTTCACTTTGTTGAAATGTTTCAATTGATATGCCAGCAATTCCTGAAGCCTTGTTTTCAACAATGATTTCCATGAAGATTGAAGTTCTTTCTTAGTCTTCCAACTGACATCTTTGTTCTTGAATACTTTAAGAGAGGTCTTGTGCAACAAATTAGCCTAATGCAATATGCTGTTTGATTTCTTGACTGCTGTCTCCATGAGTGTTGACAGTGGATCTAAGCAAAATGAAATCTTTGACAACGTCAGTCTGTTCTCCATATCTCATGATGTTATTTATTGGTCCAGTGATGAGGATTTTTGTTTCTTTACATTAGACTGCAATCCATACTAAAATCTGTGGTCTTTGATCTTTGTCATTAAGTATTTTAAGTTCTCTTCACTTTTAGCAAGCAAGGTTGTATATTATCTGCATGTCACAGGTTGTTATTGAGTCTTCTTCCAATCCTGATGTCATGTTCTTCTTCATATAATCCATCTTCTTAGATTATCAGATTGAATAAGTATGATGAAAGAATACAACCCTAGCACCTACCTTTCCTAATTTTAAACCAATTCAGTTACAGATGATTCTTATACATAACCAAACATCTTGCAAATTTTGTCTGAGTTTGAAGACTTGGATCTTAGTCTTGTGAAACAATTTGGTCAATTTCCACAACAGAGTTCATTAAGTTTATCTTCTACATCCTAGTTTAATGAGTAGTGTCTGGGATCTTAAAAGCTTGGAAGTGGTCATCTAAGATAAAACTATTAGTCTCTACTTGTCTGGAACAAAAGGGAAAGAAGGAAACCAATTACTCAGAGAAGAAAGTAGTCTGCAAGACTCATGTTATTGTAAAGTGCCATGGAGTCCATTCTGACTCATAATGACTCTGTATAAGGTTTCCAAGGCTTGGAAATCTTGGTGCTTATCCTATATTAATCATGGCCTAATTTCCCTGAGACCAGAAGAACTAGATGGTGCCTGGCTACCACTATCAACTGTTCTGATTATGGTCACAATAGATGGATCCTGAGAGAAGGAGAGTAGAAGTCAGATTCTTTAAAAGTCCAGATTTACTGGACCAGTTGAGACTATTCCTTAGACTATCACCATGAGATATTCTTTTAACCTTGAACTGACACTTGCCCCTGAGGTTTCTCTTAGCTGAATAACAATGGATCAAGACTCCGACAAGATGGTGGACTGGGCAGATGCATTACATGGGCCCTCTATAACAAATATATGAAAGACAAAATAAAACAGACACATATGAAAATTCTCACACCTTGAACTTCAGAAGAAAGGTTACAGAGGTGAATGGAGTGCTTGCTGGGAGGAGAGGCCAAGCAGGGACAGTGGGAGAGAGAGAATGACTGGTGAATGGCTGGTCAGATGCGGCTCAACCATCTTGTGAGCA